ATGGCTTGCAGTTGTTAGGAACATGATTGCCTCACACAGTTATGCTAATGTTTGCACTTCATAGAACGTAATTGATACTCCTGCTGCTTCCATGCCAAATATGGAAGCAGAATCCTGCAGATCAGCCTTGTTTTGTTCCTCAATACTGTAAATAAAAGAAAGAGTCAAGTTGCCTTACAAAAAATTAAAAGTCATTTATTTTGCAATTGGAAAAAAAAAAAAACACCTCCAACATCCCTTCCCTCTTTTCCTTAAAAATTATAGCTGTGTAGCGAAAGGGCACTAATTGGATTTCATGCAGTGAGCAAATGTTTTTCAGGTTCAGCAAACCCTAAACTTACAGCCTGTTCTGTAATCGTGTTAAGCTGATATATTTGAACTTAAGGCTACTGGTGTCACTGAAATCCATGGAACAAGCTAATACTGTGCCAAAAATCTGTCTTCCCCTTTCTCCCATTTTTTCCCTTGAGAAAGCAGGTGCTACAACATTGTGAGAATGCTTCAGAACTTATGGAGGTGGCGTTTTTGAGTTCACTTGATTCTGCAGAAGTGGTGGAAGATGTTGGAGCTTCGTTTTGCTTTGTTTCAATTCTACATTTCTCCAGTTCTCTGCAGTTGACCTGGTTGCTCAACTAAAAATGTGCCCTAGACAAAGTTCCCCATGATGGCCTTGCATGAATTTTAACCAAAGCCTAAGAATCTAGGAAGGATGCTGGCTGCTGGAATTATCATTTTACTTTAAACAACCAGACATTCATACCCAGAGATGGCGCCCCACCACCACCCCAATCTCACGGCCAAATTACAAAGCCCATACTGAGAATGAATGACATTTTCTTAATATTCTTTTCCATCACAAGAAAGAAAGGCCAGGAGAAAAAGCTAAATGCCATTTTGGTACAGTGCTAGCACAAATGCTGGAGTCATCCACTGGAATGTGAAATAAACATAAATTTCATGTTGACTGATTCACACATATGTACCCATTGCTTGAGGGCTACCACATTTGAAGATGTGAATAGGCTCCCCTGAACTTGTCTATCATCAATCCATACAGTCTTCTATGATGTGTGTGTGTGTGTGTTTTGTTTTGTTTTGTTTTTAATAGGCTCAGGGTTTGTATTCAAGTCTTGGGGAAAAAAGAGAAAAATCCAAGGTTCCTCCAGAAGAAATGATAATCCTGTTTCAAATATCCTGGTGCTGGTGTGTAATGTGCAGTTCAGCTTACCTTGTGTCCTGACATTATTACAAGTGTGTTTATTGTGTTCATTCCACAGCCCTGCCAACTGTTGCTTCTGCTGGAGAATCTATAGTTCCTAGATCACCCTGCAATATCTATAGAGAAGAAATGAACACAACTACGAATGCCGACTTGGGTTCTAATATAAATGCATCATTATGTGAATTTTCTATTCAGCTACAGAGCCAACATAAATTAGAATTCATCAGTTGTTTTCCCAGCTTGATATCAATAAGTTAAAATGGGAATATGCATCTTCATGACTACCTTAGAAGTCTGGCAGATGAGAATTCATAATTTCAATCTATTCAGCTTTGCTTATGCAGAATGTAACAGGGTTAAATTTTGGCTTCACTGTGACCATAACTTTGGCTTAAAATTGCTTCAAAACTCCTTTTTCTCCTCAAGAGCTTGAGTAGTTGCAACCAAGGGAAATCCAGAAAATAACAGCTTCCAGGCTTTATAAGGAAAGTCCTTTCATGGATCACCAAAAGTTAAACTCATGCTTTAGATGGTTTTGCAATCTCCCTGGCTGGACATGTATTTATTTATCTAAAATCACAAGGTTTTCTCTGTTTTAATATACAGTATTATGAAACTTCTTCCATCTAAGACGTTGTGTGCACTGAACTGTGAGGGTAATCTAATCAATCTTCATAGGTAGTTTGCATATGTATACAACACCAAGATAACTTTAGGGAAGTAATTTGAGATATGATGGTGCAGGACATCCACTCAGCAAGTTCATGGAAACTATGCTTGCTCTGTGTGGTAACTTCCTCAGAATAGCAAATGAAGGTGCAGCTAAGGTAAAACTGTTCTTTCTGTCGTTTGTTTAGCACACTACCATTTTCTTCACTTTCTCCAGAGTCATGTTTCCTAAAGAAAACAGCTAGGAAAAATTAATCAATTTTCTTCAAAAGTATGTATTTAATTACTTATTTTAACTGAAAAATAACTTCTCCCAGGAGTTTCATATAGATGTTCTATGGGACCCCGCAGGTGAAAACTCACCAGGCATAGTTCTCCTCTTGTTCTGCCATTGAGTGGTATTGCCTAATCAGGGAGGTGTAAATTGCCCCCCAACTCCCAACCCTAATAGGCAATCCAGGAAGATACCATGGTCAATAGTATCAAATGCCACTGAGAGCTCCAACAGGACCAAGAGGGGGGCATTCCCCCACCCAGATTACCACAAAAGTCATCAGTCAGAGAAACCAAGGCCTTTTTTTGTCCCATGACCAGGTCTGAATCCATAAATTTCTAAATTGCTAACTCCAGCAAACTAATGGGGATGAAACAAGGACACCATTTTTTTGAGAGCATTCTTTCCTCTTGTTAAGTTTAATCCCTGTTTTGGTGAGGATGTTCTAACTGGCTGGGCTATCTCATGAAAAGAAGGCACATTAGATACAGGGGTGTCCAGGGAAGTCAAAACAGTCAGGACCATGCAGTTGAAGTTCTCCTCCCTTCGTATGTATGTGCGATTAGATACATGTACTGTACTTGCACATCAAAATTAACTGGGCTGGTGGATGGAGAAGGATGTAAGTGTGTGATGCCAACTCCCAAACAGACCCAGTCTTATTTGTAATTAAACTAACTGTACTTACCCATCTGGCCCCCACCATGTCAAGAGAGGTGTTTGTAGGATCAGAGGTTTTCATCAAAATGATGAAACAGTGACATGCACCTTCATTTCATGAGCTCTTTCATACATTTGTGTGATGTCACAACCCTAGTACAAAAAAGAGCCGGACCTTGAGAGGCAATGACACAACATTGCTTTCCTCAGTTGCCCTTCCTGAGGATGGCTCTTTACTTCAAGGTTAATTGTCCCTCCCAACATTTATGATTTAGATGACATCCTAGAGAGGTCTCACAAAAATGGTCCTCTCTAAGAGTTTTATCTCAGTGACTGCCCCGATTTTCTCATACTCCTTCTATGGCTGCATAGGGAGTGAGCAAAGGATTTGGGGGTGATAAGACCCCCATAAAGCAGTCTCCAGTGGTGCCAATTTCAATCACACTACTGTGGCTTTTTTTCACTTCAGAGGAGGAAAGAGGGGGAGGGTGAATAAATAGAAGTGGGACAGGAAGCAACAGTTCTGGGTACCTTGTGTCAGCTGGGTGGACTATAAAAGTGGATAGGTCCAACCATCCCGTGTCATGCATGAAAATGAGATGGGAAAGGGGATGGCTGGGTCTGTATTTGGACAGCAACACAGAGTGATCAAACATCTGACTCTTCAAGGGGTAGGTCTCTTTTTGACTGGTAAGGACCTGTTAGGGAAAAAAATCACAGCACAAATGAAATCTATCAGCTGATTAAATCCATGCATTGCTTCACTTGTTGACTAAGCTCATCCGGCAACAGGACTGGAGGTGGTATGATGTATCCCAGATGACGATTGGCTTGCTGGACATCAGTTGTAGTAGATGCAGCCTTCCTATAATTTGCCTAAACAATCCACCTACAGAAAACGCTCTTGCATATTCCTTAAGCTGAGGTTGGTGTGTAGTCAGCTTTTAGTCCCATAGAATGGGAAGCTGGCTGAGAAGAAAGCCTTGGAAAAACACTCCTGCTCACCAACTAACCGATTAGAGCAGGAATAGGCAAGATGACACCCTTAGGCACAAATATACCTGCAAACAGCTCCCATGTTCCTGAAGACTAATTGTGTTTGTTAATCCGGGTGTTGTGAGTTTGGCAAGTCCATCTTACATATGACAACCACCAATGGAGGGACTGTAGGGTTAACAGGACCAGAGCAAGACTGGGGGGAGGGAGGGAGAAGTTATTGCTGCCCTATCTTCAAATAAGAATTATGCATCACTACCCCAGGCTGTGGGGAGATGATGTTCTATCCTGGAGACTCTGAAGGCCTGAGTGGGAGAAGGGGCGGAGTCCGTCAACTGCAATGGAACCCAAGCAATAAGGAACTGTTGTCGGTACACTGCAGGTGCTCCTTTGGTGTTAGTGTAATCCTTGGATGGCAAGGCACTCCCGATCCAGCAGCAGTTTATAATTGGGGATGGGGGGAATGGTGGGGAATGTCTTTTTGGATTTGCAGCTGCCGCTTGAACAGCATGGAGCCCATGATTAGGGGGCTTTTGCCCAGCTGCATCCTTTCTTGGTGCAAGAGGTCCTAGCAACTGTAACTCATGCTCTCATCACCGCCCACATAGATGACCACAATGTGCTTTGCATGGGGCTGCCGTTAAAGACCACCAGGAAGTTAGACCTAATCCAGAATGATGGGAGCATATTACACCCATAGGATGGGCCCTGCCCTGGTTACCCAGTTCAGTTCAGAGTCCAATTTGTGTCAGCTTATAAAGCTCGGGGATACCTCTAAGACCTCCTCCTCCGACTGGATTCCACCTGGCCTGCTAGATCATATAGGAAGGGCCTCCTTGCTGGCCCAGTTTTCCAGGGGAGCCAAAGCTAGAAGATGCTGCTTCTCTGTGGAATGGGACCCCCTCTGAGATCAGACTGGCCCCCTCCCTAGAACCTTCAGAGAGTTATTAGAAATGGAGCTTTTTTTGGAAAGCTTTTCAACATCACCTATACCTCTTTTTATTTTTTTCTCCTCCTTCCAGTTTTGATTTTGCAATTTGGGTTGTATGTTGTTTTAACTCTGTCGTGTTTGTTTTTACAGGGTCCTTGTAAGTGCCAAGAGTTGCGAGATGGTGGCGGGATCAAAAATGAAGGAATGAGGAAATCACAAAAGGCCTCAAAGGAAGCGAACAATTCGTTACGAAACCAGATTTATTAAAGTTTTTTGTACAGGAATTTTACAACTTCATCATGATAATTCTCAAAATATGTACATATTTACAGATTTTCAACAGTGTTATTAACTTTCCACCTACCAAAATATACAGATTTACAGGCAGGTCCAAGGATATTTTAAAAAAAAAAACCTGTATCACAGATACAAATATATTAAAGCAATCACAAGAGCTTTAGTGCAATTAAGGTCAACAACTTTTCACCTCTAATTATCTTGATTTATCAAGTTAGTATTGCCAGCCATAATTCACATTTAATCTGCTCTTTGCTAACTCGGGTTTGTTTAGGGTACACACACCATAGTTATTAAACTACAAAAATAGAACTCAGTGACAAAACGCTGCATGGGACGTACACAGGAGATGAAGCACGCTGAATCTGGGGAGCCCTTTTTTGCAAAAGCCTTGAAATTGTATTGTGTGAGGTTTCAGAAGCTCGCCCAAACTATTGACTTTTCAGCTCTCCTTATACGGAACGGTGGCTGTTGCAATCATCGTACGTTGCTTACTATCCCCGATGGCTTCACAGAAATACATTTCCCATTGTACCTTGAAAGACAAAGCTACATAAATCTGCAGTACATTCCTATCCCAGAGGTGAAGCATCTAAGACAGTGTTTCTCAACCTTGGCAACTTTAAGATGTGTGGACCTCAACTCCCAGAATCCCCACCCAGTTGAGGTCCACACATCTTAAAGTTGCCAAGGTTGAGAAACACAGATCTAAGGCCTTTCACATCGAGCTAAACTGCAATTCCCAGAATCCCTCACCCATGGTCCTGCTGGGAATTGTAGTTTTTCTTCCGGAAAGTCGTGGATTCCTACTCCTAGCCTACCCCAGGCAGTTTTAGAAAGGAAACCTAAGTGCTTTCCCATGTTTTTTTTTTTTTTTAAATTCTGCACAGGCACACTAGCAAGCCTGCTTACAACAGATCCAGCTTATTTTCATCTGTGATGAAACACAGCAAAAGACACCAACTATCTTCCCTTCCAGTTATCCCAAGCGTCTTTCCTTTGCCTGCCTGGATCAGCTGTCACTCAGAAACAAGGGCCTATTTTATACCCACTGGAATTGACGCTGCTGTCAAGGACTTCATTATCCCACTCAGGAAGCTAAGGCTTGCCCAGAGTGTATTAATTATGGACCACAAATTAAAATAAGACAATCTCTTATTTTAGAAAGACACGAAAGTGCAAAAGGAAGAAGAGTTTTCCGGAGGAAGATTATAGTTGGCAAGAGTCACAGAAAAACACGTTGGTATTGCTTCCTGGTTTAGCTAATGGGCAAGGAGAGAGCAGAGGGAGCCAGCGCGTTGCATCACCCATTTGAACAAAGAGCAAAAACACAATTGCGTTTCAGTCTACACAACAAGATAGGGCTTATCTCGGCCTCTCAGGTTAGGCCACTCCACCCTTGGCTGGTGTTTTGGTATTCGGATATTGATGCTGCTTAAGAGAGCAACACCCAGTTGCACAGACACAAGGGAGCTAACCAAGGTCAGAAGCAGGCCCTTTCAGATGACGGCTTGAGAAGTAGGCTGAAAATCTGACTGCTTCAGGTGAGATTTGGCATCCAAGCGCCAGAGCGAGCTGTGACAGCACATCTATAAAGGCGGGGTTCCCATGACTTGCATGGATTGGAGTGACCTCTCGGATGAGCAAACTTGGGCGGACAATGACAAAACCAGAGTCTTGGGTAGAAGCTTCTTTCCCCTTGTTTCACAAGACCTTTTTTGCTGGAGATGTCAGAGGGCGAGAGCGACATCTTGATAAGCGCACACAGATCCTCCCTTGGCTAACACTGTACTTAAGACACCAACATAAACAGTGCATCACTGTCAAGTCACATGTGCACGCATCTGTTTGACTGCTGAGTCACACCTGGAAGAAGTTGAAAGGTGGCTTCACCTTTTCTATAAAATACATGGTAATGAACTAAGGGCCTATCTTTGTTTGCTTTAAGGATCAAATGGATAGTCCAGAACGTAGCTGCAAATGTGACCGTTAGCTAACTGCTGCATGCGAGGGAGCTTCAAGGAGGCCTGTTCTTTGCATCCCATCAAAGACAGCATCAAGGGCTCCCACTCAGATTGCATGGAAGCCCTTTTAATAGATCTGCTGAGGATGCTGTGTCCATCCTCAGCAGAGAAAGAGTGGTGTTTTTCCTAAAGCCAGAGGTATTTGCTGTAATGGTTCTGACCTTTCAATGAAAATAACTGAAATCTGAATACAGTTTGGCAGCTTTGAGACTGCAAGGTTTTGGAAAATTCTCCAAGTGTGGTAGACAAGGCCTAAACCTCCCCAAAGTGCCCGAGCCCCTGTGCCCTGATTCAAGGCCGCTGAATTCTAGATGCCAAGGCTCTGCAGGTCAAAATAACAAAGATTAGCTACCGGATCTGTGCATCCTAAGTCTTCACCACAGCTCTGTTGAAAGGCTTAACAGCAGCTTTAAATCTGGATTAACCAAGTTAGGTTTCAAACCGTAAATCCAGCTGTTCAAAAGCTAAAGCCCCTAAGGTCAACAGGTTTCACAAGATTAGGGTGCACAGCCTAATCTAGAGTGTTGCCTTGAAGGGTGAAACATTCAAGTTGGTTATGAACTGACTCGTCTAAGCAACCAGCAAAACACCGGGAGAACTCTGGGCTGAAAGATAGGATAGCCACTTGAGAGGGGGAAAAAAAAATACTGGAAATCAATGTCAGACTCTTATTCCCCACTCCCACTTCTTTTTCTAAATGTGCCACCCCATCGTTCTAGCACTGTGATTATCACCCGTCCTGCCTGGCATCATAAGAAGCGCTAGTGCATTTTGCTCTTACATCACCAGCAAAAAGATTCTGTAATCAAAGGCCAGCTGGCAGTCCTGTCATTTCCATGATGGATGAGAGGACAGGAGAATCCTCTGGCACTTCTGCCATTGCTGTTTATATCTGTAACAGTATAAACTGGGCAGCAAAGCCAGACCATGTGAACCTGAATATGCACACAGGGCTCAGAGCTCTTCTGTTAAGGAGAAGAAAAGAAGGAAGCCAACAGAGGCCGCAATACTTACGTTGCAAATTCCAGATAAAGCAATCTGATTTTCCAATGAAATCCAACATTAGCCTCCCCCTCCCCCAAATTCTAGTTCAAAAGTTCAGCATGCTTGCACCAGATGGCAGCCCCTCGGACATCAAGGGAGAATCCCTAGGTTTAGCAACCCAAGACTGCAATTGTTCTGGAAGTTTTTATAGACATGGGAGAATATACAGGCCTTCCGCCTGTGAGATAAGTGCATTTTAGACCTCTATTGTCCTGAGCGCAGGGAGGCTTTTGGAAAGCTATGCATTTACAAGAGGAACACACATGTGCACTGACACAAAACGGACACAAAACGCTGTATGCAAGAGAGAAATCTCTTGTCCCCGAGGCAAAGTAGGCCGAGCTAGCAGAAGAAGAAGCTCATATCATTGTCCTCTCTCAGTTGCTCTGGAACAACTTGATCAGAGATTCTTACATCCTGGTCAGCGTGCCCAGATTCCAAAATGGCATCAAACCAAGGATGGAGCAAAATCTCAGGCGCGGTGAGTCTTTCAGAGGGTTCTCGCCTCAGAAGGCTGCGGATGAGGCACCGTGCTTTGGGAGAGACGTGGTCAGGGATACAGAACTGTCCGCGCCGGATTTTGGAAAACAGGGTGGTAGGGTCCGAGTCATGAAAGGGATACCGTCCCACTAGGAGAGTGTACAGCATAACTCCTAAACTCCAAACGTCAGCTGACTTCCCAGAATAGGTCCCCGTTGTGTTTAAGATCTCTGGACTGACATATGCCGGACAGCCGTGCTTGTCTGACAACGCATCATCTTCCCCTTTCATGATGTGGGTATCTTCCAAACTTTCAAGTCTCAGCTGCATCCTGGAGAACAGAAGAGGCCAAGACATGAGTTATAATGCCAACGGTGCTCAGAGGGGTAGATGTCATGCACACACACATATATGCAGCAGAACACATGTGCCCGAAGGTTAGCCACTGTTCTGAAATAGCAACCTGTATGTCAAGGCTTCTACATAGGGTTAATCTGAAAAGACTGTAAAGTAAGGCACATGCTATGGAGAACAGTTCATGTAAGTTCATCAGCCGTTCCCTTCTCAAGGACATAAGTCACTTTCATTATGAGTAAGCAATTGTAGATCAAATGCCACAGTCAAAATGGGCATGGCCTTTGAACCGAAATGGCTCACACACCGGGGCCTTGAAACATTAAACAAATGGAGATCATGTGTCAGTAGGTAAAAATGCATTTCTTCCAATTCAATAACAAAATATTACAACACAGGTAAGAGTATAAATGAGCTAACATTTACTTCCTTCAGAATCACCACCTCTAAAACTCACAGCAAAGACTTCCGTGCACGAATGGGCCGCAGCAGAACCAATATCCAACGTACAACTATTCTCAACGGGTTGTCAGTCATAAAAGGAGAAAGGAGTCAAGCAAACGACCTGTGCATGAGAGACTCCATTACAGCAAGTCACATTCACAGAGCAATGATCTTGGACGAAAGCCAGTTTTGTCTTGGTGACGTCAAGCCTTAACTTGTGGATGGATTGCAGCCAAAACTTACATCCCTTTTGTTCCTGAAATAGTTGTAACTCTCTAGTTCAGTTATACAACACCCCCCCTCCTCAATACACACACATACACAGAGTGGCCTTGTAGGTTACACAGCTTTTATGCAGAAGTCTCTTCACAAAACCTTGCACTGCTAGATTGCTGTTCTTACATTTGCCGATTAAATATTTTCCAGCTTCTGTCAGTCTGGTGTGCCACCTTCCTTACAACTTTTGCTGGCCTGACTCCTTGCTGTGACCTTCCTCTCTTAAACCAAGATTCTTCTCCCTTCCCCCCGTCCTAGCTGATTCTGTAAATGGAAAATATGAGTCAGATTGTCCTACCTGCTCTCCAACTCCCTGGTGGGATCCAAATTTCACACCTGTGCTTACTAGGCTAACATCTTGCCCAACATTGCTTAACCCCCTGGTTACCAAACGTAGTGCATACAACATCGGCCCTGCGCAATTACTAAGTTTCTAAATTAGCAGCACTGAGAGTGCAATCTGCTATTTCAGCAAATGATTCAGTTTATCACAGCCAGCCAAACACACAACCGTTTCCCTTCAAGGAGAAGCAGTTGCTGTTTTTATAGGTCAACATGTACTTTCTGATAGATTGCCCTCGTCCCCAGTCCCACTCATTGCCAAAGGGCCATCGTTTTGCTACAGGCTTTCCACGTTGACTTTGGATGACTGATTCACACATGCACATTCACCCCTTGATTATATCTGTTGAGCACCGGATGCCTCAAAGTTACGACGTGACCTAACGGCATTGAAAACACTGAGCAGGAAGCTTCATCTATGGTGCAGAATCCTGGCTAAATGATTGAATATCTGGCTGCAGATGGAAACAGAATGCTGGCTAAATGGTTGCTGAACTGATGCAAGGAGACTCTTGTATTTAACAGGCATTGCATTTGTGGAGGTAGCTGTGTAAATCTCTTGTCACCTTACTTCTCACTGTGAGAGCTTTCATTCAGCAATCTCTTTGCTCCAGTTGCCACTCTCAGTGCCTGCATTCATGTGCTAAAGCAGGGCGTTTAACAAGACGGCCTGGTTTTCACAAAAGACTTTCCCCTAACAGGTGAGCTCACATATCTTGGCTAGCCAAAAAAGGAATCAACTAGATTTGCACAACATGTGGATACAATTACTATGACCATCACACATCAGAGACAATGGAATCACATGTTCAAAAACATCACAATATGCCATTGCTCTGCTCACAAAAGGAGCCCAGCGGGCACTGCACACTGCTTGCAGCTGCTTCTTCACCCACCCCAGCTCCTTCATTTCCCTTTGCCAGCTTTTTGCTCCACGTTTTCAGTAATTATTTGCAACTCCTCTTGGCCTAAAGCAGACATCAAACTTGTGCCAGTGCATCTGAACCTGTATTTACTTATTTATCATGTTAAAGCTGGACTGCATGTTGTTAAAAAGGCAGACAGAGCCCAAATCCATTTCTCAAGGCTCCTTAGTCAGCAATGCCAACTTCAAACCTCCCCTGCAAGCAAACTACAAGAGATTTACACAGCTACCTCCACAAATGCAATGCCTGTTAAATACAAGAGTCTCCTTGGATCAGTTCAGCAACCATTTAGCCAGCATTCTGTTTCCATCCGCAGCCAGATATTTCACAGGCATTCTCCATTAAGACTCTCCTTAACAAGTGATTCTCTGCCACTGCTATTCAGAAGCGCTAAGCTTGTAACAAAAGCTCTGGTACTAAGAGAGATGGGGGAATTAATTAAATGCAACAAGAAGACATAATCTCCCCTTAGGGAAAAGGAATGGTTTCTACTAGACAGACCTAGATTCTCCAGTCTGTAGTGAGGTGCAACCCCTACCGGACTGAAGAATCCAGAATGATGCTGGGAATAATTTATTCGTTATTATAACACAGAAGAATCGGCTGCTCCTTTACTGAAAGTAAAAACACTGAAATTAAACACCAAAGGCTTTAAAACATGCATACGCATACACTGAGAATTAACTACACAATTCCTAGCATTCACAAGCAACTGTGCTATCACTTCAAAGTAATGAATGGATTGCAGCAGTCAGGTGTGAAATTGCTTCTAATGTCAAAAGCAGAACTCCCACAAAGTTCAAATGGGCTGGATTTTCCTACCTATTCTGGGCCTGCTGACACATGAACCAACTACAGTTATCTTCAAAGAGCTGATCTCAGAAGCTTCTTCCCTCCTGCCCTTAGCACTCTCCTTCTTTAAGGGGTCCTACAGCTCATCTCTAGAGGAGGACAAAGACACGCAACCTTGCACTGTTGACACAGTTGTGATGCCGGGTGGAGCAGTGTGCTGGCGAGACAGCCACCAGCCTCTGAAATATGCCCTTGCAAACTTCCCAGCACTTTCTCTCCACTTGTCCCCTGGGCCAAGATCTAAAGGACCACTCAATTCTTTCAAGACAGCCAGACAGCCAGTAAACTGGGCCAGCTCACAACTCAAACATCACAAACTGTGATTAACACCAACTACAGCTTGACATGATTAATTCTCTAAAAATGCAATGCAAACCTACACTGGGAGGAGGGAGATGGTGCCAAGCTGAGCATTATTAAAACTTGACCCTAAATTGTCAACACCTTTCCTTCTGCATCAAACCAAGTTGGCATGTAGAAGGATCCTTGGTGGCTTCGAGGCCTTCAAGTATAGGGACTTCATTGAACAACAGATTAGAAGTTGGTTGTAGAACTACAGGAGACACACTCATTCAGTCTCCCTATGCCACTGACTGAGGCCGGTTTTAGCATTCCTAGCTAAATCTCTAGCTTCTATTCTCCCAACCCTTCAATCAATGACAGGCTCTTTGTGTAATTCTCATCTGCCATCAATGCCCAAATATAGTTCATTTAAATGTGTGACACTAGAAAGTACATCAATCTTTAATTCATGTCTACTCCGCCACACACCTAACCTTGTAATCTAACTGAGACTCAAACTGCATAGGACAAAGTCATTCATAGACCAGTTATGCTAGTTTTTTTGTTTGGACTGAAGCCAATTAACTGTTGGGATCTTCAGCTCAATCAAGATGAACGTGGATTTAAAACAGCTTAGCCCCCACCCCCACCCCTGGGATCTATTAGTTTAAATTAAGTTATTCCACTTAGCAATCAGAATCCCGTCCTTGTTCTGTACTGAATTTATTTGTACAGTACAGTACAGATCTACAGTACGCATGGCATGTTGCCTATAAACAAACCTCAGTGGAAAAGCTTCACATACAAACATCCGACAAGGATTAACCTAGTCATGTGTGCCACTGCTGGGAAGCCAGGATCTGGCACCAAATTCCCAGCTCACAACCTTGTGACAAACAGGCTTTTCTATTTGTACACCATCTTGCACGCACATTTGCTCCAATAGGAATGTAGATAAAAAGTGCAAAAATGACCTTAAGAGGTTGAAAGAACTGCAACTTAAGAAAAACAAACAAGCGTGCTTCTGTAGCAGCCACCATTATTTCTCGGGAAAGGATAGTAAGTGAAGTTGGTGGAGGAAGAAAAATTTAGAGGGAAGAAAGCAGTCCAAGAAAAACAGCACCATTAGGTTCGAGGTTCAAAGGAGGTCAGGAGCAAAGAAACCATGTAGGGTTTCAAAAATTATTTGCGCTACGTGTACAACACCACTACTCCAAGTGAAATGTTCCATTAGACCACTGTTCCCCAACCTAGACAACCTTAAGATGTGTGGACTTCAACTCCCAGAATTCCCCAGCCAGCAGTGCTGGCTGGGGAATTCT